TATGTCATCTAGTAAAGAAACAAAGTGGTGAGAGCATTTAGGTTGTCTTCAACATAAGAAACCTCAAGTGAACAGAGGCTTCCTAATGTTCTAATGTAATAACCAGTGTTGCCACAACCCCAGGACCTCAGGGCATCAGCTTGTAGTGAATAAACAGAATGCTCATGTGTACACTTGAGCTACCATGTAGACAGCTGGAGAAACATTAGCTCTAAGCATATCGGGCAGGACAATTCCAGAAGAAACTAGAATTTGAATCTGTAAGGAAGAACTCAGCCATGGAGATAGGTGTCATCCAGTTGGCTCAAGGCTAGGAAAGAAGAGGGACAGAAAAATGAATTCCCCCTCCCCATCCCTGTCAGCTGAAACACTCTTCTCTTGCCCTTGGATGTCAGAAAGGGGCCTTCAATCTCAGAATGAAAATTATTCTGTTGACTTTGGACTTGGTTCCAAGTCCTTTTGACTTGGACCGAGCCCCACTACCAAGTGTGTCCCCATTATCTGGCTTGCTAGACAAGCCTATGTCAGACATAGCCTCCATGATTGCATGAGCCAATCTCATGATAGCTATCATCAATCATTTTTGTGTGAACCTCACCATGCTTTCTTTCTTAATTATTCTGGACCATCTGGCAGCCTTCAATGCCAACTACCCTAGCTGCTCTCTCTTGCTGTGATAAAATACTGTCCAAAACTGATTTGGGCAGGAAAGAGTCTATTTGGTGTACAGGTTACAAGCCTACTATTTATGGAAATAAGAGACCATGGAGGAACACTGACTTGTTCTCAAACTCAAGTTCAACTACCAATCTTATATACCCTAGGCTCAACTGCCTACTAATGGCACTGCCCACAGTGGGCTGGACCTTCCTACATTAGTAATCAAGAAAATTCGACACAGATAAACCCACAGGCCAGACAATTCTCAGTTGAGATTCTCTCTTCCTCCGTGTGTCAAGCTGAAAACAGAAGCTAATTATGACACCAGCTGGAAACATTTCAGTCTATCCCACATCTTGACTGTTCACCACATCACTCAACATCATCTGATACACAATTACGTTACCAAACTTTTCCCTCAACTACGATGTTAGCTAAAATAGACCATTGTCCATTTTGTTCATTTTGATAACTGCTGGATCTCAATGTCTCAAATTGTGGGGAACCAAAATATTTCCGCTATGGAATATTTTTGAGATCCAGCCTTTGGTCTCACTAAACATGGAGCACCATTATTGTATTGTTAATGCCAGTAAGGCTACTATTGTTCACATGGCCTCAGGGTAATATGCCTCCTAATTTGCATCTCTATGCTCCTAAGCATCTGAATAGGCCCTCACCTGGGCGGAGGTGCTAGAGGTGTGTGAGTAACTTGTGAGGATGGAAGGTTAGGAGTGAGGGAACAAAGAGAGAAATGGTTCCCTCGTGGTATTGACAGGATGGTTAAGATAAACCAGAAAAGATGGCTAATAAAGAAATGACTCTAGTTCTACAACGTGGAACTGAAAGCTCTCTAAAGATGACAAGATGCCTGTGTTTGATCTTTATCGCCGTTGGGTGGCTAGGAGCTTCCAGATCCACACTCCCACTCAGGTAGAACCTCATGGTTGTCGTGGGTTAAAGATGAGACATGCCGGGTCACGACATCAAATCAAGAAGTCTTCAGTCATTCAATATTAAAATCCACTCAGTCAATAAGTAAGAAAAATATATTTATTGAGAGTTCCAAAAGAACTTCATGGAGGAGGAAGAAGTACAGGCAAGATACCGGGGAGGGAAAGCCAGCAGGAATGAAGACAGGTTTTCTGGCTAGTGAGGTAGGGCAGTCGTTGGCTTTATTTTTTCCTCATATAAGATGCATTCTGGAAACTGCTTTCTCTGTTGAAGACCACAACATAGCATTCCCAGCCTCCCACATCTCCCTAGAGAAGTGGCTCTCAACCTTCCTCATGTTGCAACCCTTTAATACAGTTCCTCATGTTGTATGACCCCAAGCATAAAATTATTTTATTACTAATCCATAACTGTAATTTTGCTACTGTTCCGAATGGTAATGTAAATATTTTTGGAGATAGAGATTTGCCAAAGGGTGTGCGGCCCACAGGTTGAGAACCAGATTTTTTTTTGACTTAGAAGAACAATTTCACTATAAATCTGGACTTGTAGACAGCCTGAGTAAGGTATACCACCCCTGGTCCAGGCAACTGTGGCCAAAGGAATAGATAACATCATCTGCCAGCAAATGGTTTTCAGTTTCTCAGGGATACTTTGTTCAAAGGCAAAACTATCCATGGTCAGACGTGGTTAGAAATGGTCAAACTTTTCTTAAATTTTTAACTTGGAAGTATGCCACTGAGAAAATGACTCCAATCACATTCAAGGGAGTCTTTAATTAATGTTTGGTAGAATTCATTTGAGTTCAATCAGTGGAGTTCCTAACCATCCCATTTGACATCAATTCCTTAAGCAATTTAATAGCACAGGCATTTGAGAAATTTGACTAGAAACAGACAGACCTTCCCATATGTTTAAGTTTGAGTTAACATAATAAATTAAACATAAATGACTAAGTTCCAGCAACATTTCATTATTTTTGCATCCATGGTAAAATATCAAATATTTTCCAACTAAGAAGAACAAGTCTAAGAATTCATTAAGCATTTGACTCCTAAGGCCAACATTACATATTGAAATATGTCAATTATGTTAAAACACTTCACATAAAAAGTTAATAGTTTCAATGAATACAAAAACAACTTCTGAGTTGGGTGTGGTGGCACACACCTTTAATCCCAGCACTCTGGAGGCTGAGACATGGATCTCTGTGAGTCTGAGGCTAGCCTGGTCTACATAGTGAGTTCCAGGACAGCCAGGGCCACACAGAGAAATCCTGTCTCAAAAAACAAAACAAAGAAAAACTCCTTAACATAATTGCATGGAGGACTGTGAGAAAGTCTCCTAATCCTTTCAAGGGTCTGTAATTACTATAAATTTTACACAGGAGCTGCAACACTCTTAGTTTGTCAAAGGGAGTGAGTAGTTAGGGTCCAGCAGGCGAGAGCAATGCAGGGATGATAAGGAACTCAAGCCTGGGGAATTGAGCAACTTTAATTTAACGTTAGTTACAAGAGAATGACTGACACTCACTCGGGTAGGTGTGAGAAGTAAATGAAGTAATGGCCAGGAAATGCTCCAGAGTTGCTCGGGGGACAGCAGCAACAGCTTTAAGATCACAATTGCCCGAACAAACTCTGCATACTTAGGAAGATTTACTTCAATAGCTGTATTTAACTAAGTCAACCTTCTCAACCTTAAAGCACAGGCTCTCATTTGTGACTAATGTTGTAACTACTCAAAAAAAGCAAGCTCCAGGGTTCTCACAAGACACAGTATCATATCACAGAACTGTTTCAGCTCACTAAAGAGAACTATACTCTATCGTTGAGCTTGTGTCCACACCAGAACATTCTAGACATATCCCTACTCTTCTGCTTTAAGGAAATCTAAATTCACAAAACTGAATCATTACAAAATCTTTCCCCAAGGACTCCTTTAGCTCAGGATGCCGTCTCCAGATACATTGCTAACCTAAGGACGGTACCTGAAGGAAGGTAGGGCAGTAAAGGCTGTGGATCAGTATGTTGCTCACAAGTCACTGACTGTCATCAGGAATTGAGACACCTCAGAAAGCCAAGAAGACGAAAAGAATCTCTTTATAAAAAATATAGTTTACAATGAACTTTCAAAAACACAATTTTTCAAAGCAAACTGCTCCTGTTTGAGGTTCAGACCCACACAATGAAGAACAGAGAAAAAGAAGCGGAAGTACAGGAAAGAGAACTGTTATCTGCTCCGAACACACACACAGGCTAAAAGGCCATTGCCGTAAGGGAAAGGACAGCCCTTCTCACAGACCTGAGGAAGGTGAGGATGGAAGGAAGGCAGCAGACCATGAGGAGGGGATCTGGTTCAGTCAGGTCTCTCTGGACTTTGTCCTGCAAAGAAGCAGAGACAGGCAAGACTAAAGAAAACACCGGTGGAGAGTAGTTTGTAGGTAAAAGACTCATCACACCCTAAATACGATTCTAGGAGCACCAGTCAGTGATCTGCCACACTTGGAAGACAGTCCCACAAACAGCTGGTGAGAATGTGTGACCAGGACTTCGAAGACACCAGTAAGGAGTGAAAGTTCTCAGGGGCACTGAGTACAAAGAAAGAAGTTTTGCGTTGCTGCTGTTCTTGGTATTTCCCAGGCTAGAAGTAGAAAACAAAAGAAAAACCAAGGTTCTGTTCACTTGGCAGGGCTCCACTTGGGACCCTCTCCAGCTGGCCACATAAGGCCCCACAGCAACTGAGGGTTTGGCTACATTAAAATCAGTATCAACTCATCCAAGGTCGACAGACACTGTGCCCGAGACAACTAAGTTCTTCTAGTGGAAGACATCAAAAGATAAATCAAATTAATACATGGAAAACCATGTCTTGAAACAGGTACTTATTTCCCAATTATAATTAATCCAGTCTCTTCCATAAAACTCCTGTAAATTATCTTATTGAATGTCTTGAAGATGCTTCCTTCTCAGTAATTAAGAGTTAGGAGTTCTTGTCTGTGTCACCGGGTTGACATGGTGATTCTGTCTTCTCTGGGAGTTCAGCAGGCACATTCTCTGACAGAGAGACACTGTCATTTCTTGACATGGTGGCGAACAGCATGTCCATCATCCCCAAGGTTTCCAGGAGTTCCCTTTGGTAATCAATTTCTTTTTCTACGAGTCCTTGAAGTACTATAAACTTTTTATCAACTACTGGTGACTGGCCAATCACAGGGAGATATATATCTACAAAGGGCAGAAAATACATTAACTAGAAACATTTTCTGTAGGTGAAATTGATACAAACAGTATGGCACTAAAATATAAAGGCACTGAATACCAGTATTTTTAATAATTAATTTGTTATTTACAGGAAGCATAACAATCTATCTGACTAAATACATTTTGAAAAGAAATAATTACACAATATATACAGCATGGGGTCTTATTTTCATTTTCATGTTAAAAACTAGATGACTGGGGGCTGAGGAGATGGCTATGGGTAGGAGTGCTTGCTTTGCAAGCAGTTAAGATCTGTATTTGATTCCCAGAACCCATTAAAAAAAAAAAAAGAAAGAAAAGAAAAAGAAACTGGCCACCTGGCATACAACTGCAATGCAGCCCTGGGGAGGTAGAGACAGGTAGCCCAGGGCTTGCTAGGCACCAGCTGAGCTCTATGAACTTCATTCAGGTTCAATGAGACAGCCTGCCTCAGAAAAACAGATGGAGAGTGATGGGGAAAGACCCAGGAAGCTGCCCTGTGGCAAACATGAAACAATGTGTCAGGTACGGGGCTGCAGGAAGAGATGTAGCACAGGAAAGGCATGGGGGTGCAACAGTAAGTCTCAGGCAGGACCAAGTGAGATCCAGAAACACTGAACTTTAGATGCATAAATGAAACAAAGGACCCTAACATAAGGACTCAGAAGTAGACAGGGTGAATCCCCCTCACTGTGGCTTCAGGAAGAGAGAAAAGGACCACTTTGGTTGGTTGCCGTTACACTACCGGGCTCTCTAAAAATCTAGAAAAAGAGCTGAGACTCACGCAGCAAACATGACTCAGTTTGTTCATGCTTGTCACGGTGAGGAATCACCTTATGTTACTAATCTCTTGTGGAGGGGGGATGGGGGGACAACAAACAACACAACACAGGGGGACACGGGTGACAGGGACACATATATGACAAAGGATCCTCTGTATTTTCTTATTTCCAAGCCCCAAAGGCCTCTCTACTCTACTGGATAAGAAAGTGTGCATCACAAAAGTCCATGTGGACTTGGGAAATGGTTGTGACTTGGACACTACATCAGATATAAGGATTAAATGATAGAAAGCTAGAAGCACCCTCTACTTTTTACTGCAGTTGAGAACTGCCAAGTGGAAGAACAAAAGACCAACTGCATGGGAATTCAAGGGAGGAAGGGGTGTGGCAGAGACTGGCCTGGCCAGAGCACTTAGGATCACTCAGTGGTAGCTTAGTTGCCCTCAGCGTGGATCCCGTTGGGCCTAACTGCTTTCTACATTCTAAGCCCCAGAGACTTTTAAGAGAAATGCAACCACTACTTGGTGTTTCCCACGCCCCCACCGGGACTGGTAGAATACCTCCATAATAAAGCAGCACCCTGCCTGGTGGCCCTCTGGCTCATGAGAGCAGCCTGAGGGTGGATGCTACATGACCCTCACTACTGAGGTTGCACACAGACATGCAGGACTCAGGCCAGCAACCCTCCATCTCCTCAGCAGGAAGTAATACACTGTCCCCGCCCCCACTGTTTTGTATTACACTTGCTCAAGTTCTCCTTCTCACACTTTCATCCTAAATACTTCTTTCTCCTATCTTGCCTCTTCTCTTTCCTTTCACTAATCTCCATTGTTATTTATAATATTTTTACCTTCACTGAGTTTTAAATTCCTAGCTAACCCTATCACTCCCTCGGGTGGGCCTTACTCTTCCTTCTTACTGGGGTATAGCTGTTCTCAGGTGGTTTGCTATATGTAAATATGGGTTTGGCTCAGCCATTTACTGCAGCCTGCTTTCTTTCCTGTGTGTAGCAGACATAGATATCAAGCAAAGGTCTCCATACAGACTCAGCAGAGATATCCATCCCAAGGGATGTGGAAATCACAATGGAGAATGGGAGAAAAGCAGAGCAGCAGGACTCTTCCACAGGACGCTAACTCTTCAACTGCTGGACCTGCAGACACCGATGGAGCTGAAATACCTAACAAACACAATGACCTCAAAGACGCAACCATGAAATAGATGAAGGAAGTAAAAAGTCAGACCAAATGCAAACCTTGGATATGAATTTGGATTAAGTCAAGCAGGAGAAGGTGGGAGCTCTTAGGCTGAGGAATTATCACATCCATTAATACTTGTCAACAACCAAAGCAAATACACTCACAGATTTCAAGGACTCTAGGGCACGACAAAGGAAAAACAAAAAATCTAAGTATCTTCAATGTAGAAGCATACAAAATCTAGGCAATGAAACTGGAGCAGAAAATTTCAAAATCCAGGGAAAGATACAGACATCCAAATACAGGAGGCACTCAAAACCTAAACACATATGTCCAGAAAAGAACCCTCCTACATTGTCCAATACCTAGCATGGAACAAAACACCAAGTTACTCACACAGATGAGTTCATCACTAGGACACTAGGCCTGTCAGCAAAGCAAGGGAAATAGGAAGTGACGTCAAGCCCTAAGAGGAATAACCACCAACCAAGAGAATTCCATCCACTGAAGTCTTCCTTTAAAACTGATGGAGGGAATAGATTGAAGCCATGACCACTAAACCAGTGTAAGGACAGCGACACGGAAGGAAAGTCAACACACAGGTAAGAAAGTCACAATCACACAGGAAATTGAGAAAATAAGTAATAAGAGAAAATAGATGAGTAAAAGAAAATTAGGAAAGAATCAGATGTTTCCAATTCAATAAACCAGCAAATCTCTAAGATGAATAGACAAGGAAGAAAAGAACAGATCAACTGGGGGAAACAAGGATCTTATAGGAATTAGCACACACCTCTCAATTCTAACCCCAAATATAAACGGCCTCACTTCTTCAATTAAGCATGCAGACATGGCTGTGCATAGCGACACATGCCTATAATGCCAGCAGGGGGCCTGTGCTCACACACATTCATATAAACCATATAAGCATGAAGAAATACACACACACAATAAATAAATAAATTAATTAAAAAAAAGAAAGATGACCATTATAGATGTTTATGGGGAAAACTTTCTTAAATTATACTTATCCTAGTCTCGTCAATTCAAATCTGCTACTGTAACATTTTACTACATTTTAATTGCACCTGTTCCTCTAGGTTTCCTGTTTCAGGTTCTTTCACTGTTTTTCAATGCTGAGGCGCAAGTGCAGGAGCCGGGACAGGCTGACACATTCTGCCGCTGAGCTCTCCAGTCCAAGGCCTCAGCTCTCACAGCATGTTGGAAAGCTTATGTTTTACGACTTACCAATTACTATTTCAGCAGCATTAATCAGAACAGGGGCAAATCTCGGCTGAGACAGATTCCTACAAAGCAAAACTTCTGTTTAATAATCTTGCAAGGCCTATCCCTGGCACTTAAGCTGGCATTTGGGAATCTATTCCCCATGCTGAGTTGCCTCGCCCAGCCTTGATGCAGCGGGAGGAGCTGTGTCCTGCCTCAACTTGATGAGCCATGCTTTGTTGATGCCCATGGGAGGCCTGCCCCTTTCTGAATGGAGATGGAGGAGGAGTGAAGGGGGAGGATAAAGGGAGAAGGCATGGGAGGAAAGGAAGGGGGAAAAACTGTGGTTGGGATATAAAATATATAAAAAGTTTAATTAATAACTTAAAAAATAAATAAATAAAATCCCTAAAACAAACATTGTTACACCAGTTCTCTGTAAAGAGCAAACTAAAAGTAGATGTCTCTCACCGAGTGATAATGGAGGACTTAAGCCACAAAGCCAAGTCAAGCATACCTTATCAAAAAGTTCAGAACCCGGGTAATCTCCTTCTCATCCCGACCTGCAAGAGCATTGGCTAGGACTCCTCTCCGATTCAATTCCTTTATGATGGAAACTGTAACCTCGGGCGTCTTTATTACACAATTAGGCTAGAAAAATGTTCAGAGTCAGTACAGCCAAAAGGACGGACAAGAAAAAGATCACTACCCTGCACTAAACTGCCAAGCTTATCTCCACAATCCCAAGTCATAGTAAATCATAAACCATCATCAAGATGGTTCCCCACATGTCCTTTCACTTTTTTTGGACAGGGTCTCACTTTACAAGCCTTAGCAGGCCAACTTTATTATATAGCCCAGGTTGACCTTACTCCAGAGACTATTTTTGTTTTTTTCTTTTTTGGGGGGGGGAGGTGTGGGGGGACAGGGTTTCTCTGTGTAGCCCTGGCTGTCCTGGAACTCACTCTGTAGACCAGGCTGGCCTTGAACTCACAGAGATCCGCCTGCCTCTGCCTCCCAAGTGCTAGGATTAAAGATATGTGCTACCGGGCTGGAGAGAAGGCTCAGAGGTTAAGAGCATTGACTGCTCTTCCAGAGGTCCTGAGTTCAATTCCCAGCAACCACATGGTGGCTCACAACCATCCGTTATGAGATCTGATGCCCTCTTCTGGTGTGCAGACATACATGGAAGCAGAATGTTGTATACAAAATGAATAAATAAAATCTTTAAAAAAAAAAAAAAAAAAGGATATGTGCTACCACTACCAGGTTAGAATAATTCTTCAAATACTCTTCACTAGCTAAGCATGGCAGCTCTCAATGCTGGGAGGCAAAAACAAGAGGATCCTGGCAGCTCACTGGCAACCTGGTGAGCTCCCCGTCTTAGACAGTTTATCACCTGACACAAGCAAGAGTCACTTGTGAAGAGAGAACATCAGTTGAAAAATGTCTCCATTGTACTGGCCTGTGGACAAGTCTATGTGGTATTCACTGTGGTGGTGCCACTCCTGGCAGGTGGTCTGGGTTGTACAAGAAAAACAGGCTGAGCAAACCATGGGGAGCAAACCAGTAAGCAGTGTTCCTTTATGGTTTCTAATTCAGTTCCTGCTTCCAGATTTCTGCCTTGGGATCCTGACCTGACTTCCAATTTCATGGTATTATAAACTGTAAGATGAAACGCCTTTCCTCTCCAAGTTGCTTTGGTCATGGTCTTTACATTGCAACAAAAAGCAAACTAAGACAGATATGATCTCAAGAAGATGGAATGATCTCTGGCCTTCCCATATGCATGTAAATGTACCCTATCACACACAAAAAAATTAAAAAATAGTGTGAAAAGACAATTATTCTCACTCACCTCAAGGACTCTGTCAAGTGCCTTTGAGATCCGAAAACTTTTCAGGTCCTTGTCATACCATTCTAGGTGTTTCTTTGCTGGCCTATTGATCATGATATCATCCTGAATGAAAAAGTAAATTTATAGAAGAAGAAAGTTAGTATCTATATAGTTCCATTAAAAATAAATGTTTTCCAGTAGAGCTGGCCCTGGCGATATGAGTAAGGGAGACCTGGATGTGAGGGCCCAAGAGCAGAACTTGCTACAGCTCCTTGCTGTAGGCTGCATTGGGTGAGCTAGCCAAGGCAGTGCTAAAGAGCTCATCCAGGTTGTGAAGATGAGGGAAAGCTAGTGATCTGACCAACCCAGCCACCACCCAGGCCCAAGAGTTGGCCCACCCCAGCCACCAAATCTATGAACTGTTGAAGCATGTGAAAGGGATGAACCTACAGTTCCAAAACAGTATGACATGGGATAACAACAAGATGTCCAAGAGGAGCCCCAGTGAGAGCCCATTAACATTAGTGTAGCATAAACCAGAGGCCTCTGATCAGACCAATGACTCCTGGTAATGAATACTTACAAGTAAACATGAACAGACTAAAGGGTAAACTGTGTGTCTCAACTGGTCACACTACAGCTTCCATGACAGGATTCTTTTTTTGTTTTTTCTTTGTTTGGTTTTTCTTTTAAATTTGGTTTTGTTTTGGGGGTTGCAAGGGCAGAGAGCAATTCAAGGGGATGGGGAGATAAGTGGGGTCAAAATGCATGATGTGAAATCCATAAATAATCAACAAAAGAAAAAATAAATATTTAAGTAGGTATGTTTTCACAATAAAGTGATACATGTTAAAGTTAGGATGCTTTTACACCACACAACAAATAATGTTTCTATGTTCATAATCCAAGTGATACATTTTGCCATGTCAATGTGCTCTTATGTTTTTTAGCTTACTCAAAAAAAAAAAAAAAAAAAAAAAAAAAAAAAAAAGCAGTATGACCACATATAAAAAGAAGTAAAAAACAAACCAGAGACTACAATGTAATCGTCACACCTCTGATGAGCTCCTGGGTCATTAGAACTTTACATCTCAGTCCTCTCCAACACCAGGGAGACATTACAGGCACACGCTGTTCAGAGGACCAAATCAGAGAGTGGGTGACAGACACTATTTTGAAGACGGTAAAGCACTGTATTATTTCATGATTCAGGGTACTAAGTAAGTAGTCCCTGTTCCCCATTATTCTTCAATAATGTACTACAGCAGTCTGGAACCAACTTTGATGGAGTGAGAAGAAAATAATGTACATGTATGTGAATCACACTTTGCAGTAAATTCCAGGAATGGGTGGAATTGACTCTTCCAAGAAATATCATACTTTCAAAAGGATAAGAAACACATAATCACCCGTTGCTTCATGTAAATTTTTCCTTTAACAAAGGTTCGGTATGCAGGCCTCCTCCTTCTTGAGAGAGATTCCTTCTTTGCTTCAGATTTCCGGTGTTTAACGCTCAGTATCCCATTAGTCATTCCCACAACTATCGTCTCATCTTCATGCTAATGGTAATCAGAAAAACCATTCTACTTTAACCAACATCTTACAGTACCTTTGACTTGAAACAGCATTTGCATCACGTCTGCTATCTATCTTACTGCCCACAGTTCGAGTCAATACAGACAGTGATCTACCCAAAATGTTACAGCAAATTCACTTTTCCTCCAGGGTATCACTATCGGGACAGCCCTTCTTATGCTTGTACAGTACTGCCAGTGAAGTGTATGTAATGAGAATGATGATGTTGGCTGATCATGCTAATAAGATGCTAATGGCATCTTGACAAGTTTCAAAATAATTTTCTATGCTCTCTGAATAGAAAAAGGATTACACAATGGCATGACTTTTGTAAGCTGGCTCCCCACAACAGCTGCTCTTGACTCTTCTTCTCTAGGTTGAAATTTCCATATAACATATTCAGGTATCTTCTGGCCAAATGTGGCTCCTCATGAAACCCGACAGTGAACACTCCAGAAAGCACATTGCTCACTCAGCTGCTCCTACCCTCTCCACTTTTCTGGGGCCAATCTGCCATTCTCGAGCTTTGTAACACCCTTGGGCTTGTTGAAGGGAGAGTTAACAACATCCTAATCCAGTTACCATGATAGCAGTCAGTGCCACCAAGTGGGAATTCATGTGGTTAACAGGAAACATCACATCCTAGCAACTGTCTTTGTTAGTATTTGTTTAGTATTTAGACATTTGTACTGGCCTGTCCTTGGGGTTCTGACAGGATATGCCCTCAGCTGCTGCCACTAAGAGCAACACCTGTGCCTATTCACTGTGTTCCCTTTCAAAAGGGCCCTGCCCTCCTCCATCTCTCTCTCTCTCTCTCTCTCTCTCTCTCTCTCTCTCTCTCTCTCTCTCTGTGTGTGTGTGTGTGTGTGTATACCCTGTCTTTTCTCTCTCCTGCTGTTCCTGTCCCTGGAGGCTAGTCTCTCTTCTTCCCTTCCCCCTTACGATTCTTTTCCCCTAATAAAAAACCTCTCCACTTGAACTCTGTTGCATATCTTTCTCAGCCACTTTTTAAAAATTACAACAGTCTTGACTCAAACATCGAATGTACCTTATTTGAATCCAAAGATAACCCCCAAAGATTACACTTTACTTTTACATAATGGCATAATGTGTAACAACTTGAGAAGAACTGAAAGTACATACAGACAGTGCCAGACTCAAGATGGAAGCTGCATAGTCAAAACTGTGGACTACTTTGTAAGAAGTTGTGCTGTAGACCTTGACTTTCCTGGTGAGAAAGAGAGCCATCAAGTCACCTTAGAATGAGTGAAAATAACAAGTTTCTGTTTTTAGCACACTATATGAATATGAAAATTTACACAGTCTAACCGGGTGCTTGCCTTTAATCCCAGCACTCGGGAGGTAGAGGCAGTCAGATCTCTGTGAATTCTAGGCCAGGCTAGTCTACACAACTAGTTCCAGGGCCGAGGGCTAAACAGAGAAACCCTGACTTGAAAAATAAATAAATAATAAAGTAAAATTTGCACAGTCCAGAAAAACACTGATGTAATATTAATTACAAAGTACTTCACCACTGAGTTCCTTGAAAACTAACTGTATTTCAGCACTAACCAAGTTTGAATAAAGACTGACTAGGAATTTATAAAAGAAACCAAAAGACAGACCATACACCAAGGTCATCAGAAGATAAAACAAAGGACCTATGAAAATGCACAGTAAGCCACAAGGTAGGGTTTCCAAGCCCAATAAGGCCCTCTGTTGGGGACAGTAGCAGCATCTCTGGCCATGTCTTTTCCTAATAGCAGGGAAGAAGTACAACCTGGAGACAAAATGACCATCAGAAAAAAAAAGGAAATCCTACAGCCTGTCAGTACTACCCATGTGTGACTACTGAACCCTTGACATGTAGCTACAGAAAAGGAGGTAAGTTTAAAAACCATTGAAACATTTATAAAGTATTATAGCATACCATCTATTTTAGAGACAAAATTCATTTCTAGCATCTTTCTAAGTAAACTGATTACATGTTGAAATGACAGTTCATACGAGTTTTACTTTTATGTTAGATAATGAACTACAGTGAAATAAATATGTTACTAAAAGCAATTTTTTGTTTTGCTTTGTTTTTCTAGACAGGGTTTCTCTGTGTAATAGTCCTGGGTGCCTAGAACTCTCTTTGTAGACCAGGCTGGCCTTGAACTCACAGAGATCCACCTGCCTCTGACTCCCAAGTGCTGGGATTAATCACACCTAGCTTTTTTTTTTTTTTAACATCTTTTAATATGGCTACTAAAGCATTTAAAATTACATATGCAACCTGCATTGTGAGTTTGTTTGACAACACTTTTAAATCATCGAAAGTAGAATACTTCAATTGACTATTTAAATGACTTCAGTGCTGGGGATAGAATGGCCTTGCAAATACTGGGTAAGTGCTCTAGCCACTGAACTATGCCTTTAGTGCTCTAGAAATTTACTTAAAGTCATAGTACTTGCACCACATTAATGCACAGAAATATTCATATGAAGTTTGAAATCTTGTTTGTTGTTTTTGAGGCAGAGTCTCTCTGTAGCCCTAGCTGTCCTGGAACTCACTATGTAGACCAAGCTGGCCTTGAACTTAGAGACCCACCTGCCTTTGCCTCCCAAATGCTAGGATTAAAGGCATGGGCTACTACTCCCGGTTGAAGTTTTATATTTTAAAGAATTTAACCTAAAATAAAATATATCCTCAGAATAAAATTTTCAAAATACATATGTATATATAAAATGGCTTTAAAAGAAACTATGGGAAAATAGACTATTTCAAAAGATCAGTGTTCAAGTATGTAAGTTAAAGTAATAAATAATTATTTCTGGGGAAATATAAGTAGTTATATGAAAATTAAAGGTCAAACTATTTTCAAGTCAATAGATTTATCCTCTATAAAAACCATTAGAACCTTTTTAAATCACAAATACTGCTAAAATAACTCAATTTCTCAAGCAGTAAATGCTAATAACAACGCACAAGAAAACTAGAATGCTACCTATCCAGTGAGCCGGAGAGTAATCTCTGTCCAGAGCTGCTCAGACACAAGCATGTCACAGTCTTATGATGATTTTTCAAAGACACAAGCAACTGTCCTCCTTTTAACATGTCCCAGACTTTAACATAACGACCTCCTGTGGAAAGAAATAACCACTTGTGTGAGATTCTGCATATGCTCAGAATGCTGGAGATCTGAGAAGCACTCCTCACTGGAGCTAAGTGAAGCCTCCAGAACTAGACCTGAGCTTAAAGAAGCCTCCAGAGCCAGACCCTACCTGCTGGCCACACACACCTTGAGAGTCCCTACCAACAGAAATGTTAACATGACTAAGTTATTGCTTATTTTAGGTACAGCAAAACAAATAGGGAGCTGAAAATATTTCAAGTAAAGTATAATAAATTTGCTGAGAGAAATACTGGGTCTGCAAGATGGCTCAGTAGGTAAAGACACTTCCCAGCAAGCCTGAAGACCTGAGTCTGATCCCTGGGGATGACCCGGTAGAAGATAGGTGGCTCCGGAAAGTTGTCTTAGCTGGAATAACAGAAGGTTATAGAGTAGACTTCTGAGGTCAGATGGGACACATACATAATCTACTAAGTTCTCACGGTCTGGGACTTTAGACCTGCCACTCACCATGTTGCCTTGGACAAACTAGCTGATGCTTTCATTATTTCCTTAATTGTAAAACAGAATGCCAACTACCTGGGAGAACTGTCTAGCATTAGAAATGACATGAAAACAGCAGCACAGTGCCAGTGTGGGCCAGACACAGTGAGTGACAACTACTAGCCCACCCCACTTACCAACTGAACAAATACTTAGATGTGAAATTCAAGAACACCAACAATCTACAAATGGCAAAAGGAAAATCTAATCTCTCTGAGACCAATAGTGGCAAAAGCTCTTTTGAAAAGCAATACCTGAAGACACCAGGAGACCTCCCGAGGGGAAAAGCAGGACACTCTCCACAGGCTGCCCATGCTCCACACAGAGAACATTCTTATTTGTCCGGGCGTCAAACATCTTCACAGTGTGATCATATGATCCTGAAATGTCAATGTTGGTATTATGTGAATTTTGCTCTTTAAAGCAATAAAAAATTTGTTTATCCATACATTAAAATTAGAAGGAGAAAAAGATTACATGAAATTTTTTGAACATACACACATGATTCATAAAGTCGGTACTTCTGATACTACTGTTCCTAAAGCACTATGTAATACTACATAGAATCTTACTGGCTCTGACCTTCAGACTCCTATCTCCATGTCATTCCCTGAGAATCTGTTCAGACACCTACACAAACTGAGCTCCACCTACAGTGCTATGGCTGCTGGGGCTCTATGACAACTAGAGTACCATGAGCCACTGAAACCTGATATCTATGATACTGTCAAGCAGCTAAATATATTCCCCTCCCCCCAAATACATTTAGAAGAAACAAAACCCACTATCAAGAGAAGAAAAAGAAATCAAAAAATAATTGACTTTAATGAAGACCACACACATACACATTTTATGGTGCTGAGAATTGAACCCAGGGTCTCAAACAAATTAGGCAAGTGCTCCACCACTGACCCTCATCTCTAGTAATGAAAATGTAAGCCCCTCCACCCCAAAAGAACCCATAGCAATAAAGTGGAGAGAGCCCACCAACCTGTTACAAAGAGATCAGGGTTCAGCTTGCTGGCACAGCCACACCTCACATAATCGGAATGTTCTCTGAATGTCTGAATTTCTTTGGAGTTTGGAATATCCCATAATTTAACTGTATAATCATCAGCTCCGGAGACCACATGATACTTGTCAGCTGTAAAATCTACTGTATGAACTGCTCTGAAAGATCAAAAGTCAACAGATTACAAAAATGGGGAAAACTCATGCTTGATGATAGCTCTCATCCAGCAGCTGGTGCAAGTAGAAGCAGACACCCACAGCTAATCACTGAACTGAACTGGAATCCAGATGCAGAGAAGGACGAGTGATGAGCAAAGGGATCAAGGCCAGGCTGGGGAAACCCACAGAAATAGCTGACCTGAACATCAGAGAACTCTTGCTCCCCAGACTGATAGCTGAGATACCAGCATGGGACTGATCCAGACCCCAGGAACATGGGTTTCAGTCAGGAAACCTCGGAAATCTACAGGACTTGCTGTAGGTCAGTATTTATCCCTGGCATAGGTGTGGACTTTGGGAGCCCATTCCACATAGAGGAATACTCTCTGAGCCAACACACACGGGGTGGGCCTAGGTCCTAACCCAAAGGATATGATAGACTCTGAAGACCCCCCCCCATGGAAGGCCTCACCATCCAGGGGGAGCAGAAAGGATATGTGATAGGTAGGGTTTTAGTTGTGGGGTGGTGGTAGGGAAGGATGGGAGGGAGAAGGGAACTGGGCCTGTCAAGTAAAACAACCTTGTTTCTAATTCAAATAATAAAAAAAAACTGCAAGAAAAAAAGATAAAAAAAAAAAAAGGGGAAAACTCTACCGCCTTCATCTTCTAACATAAAATGTTCCTTCCTAGATTCAAAAACAAACAAACAAACAAACAAAAGCCCCCTCAGGTTCAAGCCAGCAAGACAGCTCACTGGGTAAAGGTGCTTGCTGCCAAGCCTGATGGCCGGAGTTCCATCTGGGACCCCCCATGATGAATGGAGAGAACCAACTCCGGAGTGTTGCCCTCTGACCTCCACATGCATGCCACCAGATATGCACACCTGAACACACACAGTAAGTAAACAATTCTCAACTTCAGAAAATAGAAAACATTTATGGAAGAAAAAATAGAAAAGGGAAAACCTTTAAAACAGGTGTTTGTATGTAAATGTAATACTATGTACCGAAGTGTAATACTATGTTACTATTAGGTCAACAAGAATATTAAGTAACAGATGCAATAATTAGTGAAAGTTAAGTTCTAAATGTTGCAACAGAGGTAATTTTTAAGTGTTTATTTATTTATTTACTTATTTTATGTGTATAGTATTTTATCTACATGTGTGTCTGTGCACTCTATGCATGCCTAGGACTGGGCTTATAGACAGTCCTGAGCCAGCATGTGGGTGCTGGGATCCCAACCTCTTCCAGAACAGCAAGTGCTCTTAGCCACTAAGCCATCTCTCCGGCTCTGCAAAGGTACATTTCTTTAAAAACATAACAAAGAGTTCTTTCAAAAGATGAGAAAGACTTGCCACAGAGCAGAATCCCGTTAAAAGAATTTGTTTTGAGTGTTTTAGTGATGGGTACAAACACCCTGACAGTTTGCAATTTAAAAAAAGAAAAAAAGAAACACTTTGATATTTAAATCAACAGCAGAGTTCAGCAATGACTTTAGTGATCCTGAAACAGAAGTCAGAAAACCAAATTTATCAAAGAAAAGAAAGGTAGCCAGATTTCAGTGTGAGAGGGTACAGCCAGCCGGACCTACAGCATCACCAGAGCTGTAAGACTGCCGTTAGACCAGTGGTTCACATTTTCAACTGGTCAGAGAGCCCACTGAACCTCCTAAATAATTAGACACATACAACTTTAGAGCAGTCACAAGCTCTAGGAACTGGATGGTTAAGTTCTTTGTCTGAGAACAACAGGAAATAACTATACATACAGGTATACTCTTCACACAACCAACATGTGTTTATCAAAAGCATGGAAGCAGAGCTCTCAACAGAAAAACAAATTAAAAACCATATCAAGCTGGCTCTTACTTTGTATGGCCTTCAAACTGCCTGAGGGGAGCCCTCCCACTTATATCAAAAAGTTGAACCACACCATCTTCACTGCCAGCAACAAGCAGTTGGCCATCCTGTCGAAAAGTAGCACAGTATGCTGTGTCCTTAAAACGGGAAAAGGTTTTTATAGGTTCTTGAGAGTATCGGCCATAAATGTGGATCTGTAAGATAAAAAGCAGTATTTCACTAGATGGCCCAAGCCCAGTAGTAAATCCTATAACAAGAACAAAGATGATCACTACTGTACTTACTCTTGAAGAAGCTGTGACTGCATAGTTATACGGAGGCTGAGGAGAAAAGTCTACTTTGGACACGGCACCAAACTCCTTAATCTGAACAGGAGTCTTAATGAAAAACAAAAGAGTATTGGCAGAGTTAAAAAGGCGAGCCATACTTAAGCATCACGCTATTTTCTATGGATCATTTCCTTTTGATCTTAGTACCAATTAGTAGGTTGTATTCACAGAGAAATATGAGGAAAAGAGGAAGAGGAAAGACATAAGAAAGGGTGAAGCAAAAACCACTCTATTGTCCAACCCCCAGACTATTCCCTTGACATTACAGAAGTAAACACAGTTAGAGAGTCACATCCCATTGTCTCAGCAGCTAACTTTACTCCAATGCCCACCAAGAAAAAGAAGAGCTAAGCCTACATCAATCAACTATGATTCTAAGTTAATAAAAAGATGAACAGACCATGTAAACAGACCTACATCTTTTTTGCACCCACTAACCCATTTTAGCAATCTCTGCATATAAGCAATAAATTTGCCATCCATTTTTATAAAGATACACCATCCACCAACCCATGTCTAATGGACATATTTTCCAAGAATTCCAATATTACATTACATATGTTAATAAACATTTTACATATCTTAATAAACGTTTGAAAGCATGCTAGGCTTCAAGCTATGAGTACAAAGCAAAAATGATGTTTTTATAAAATCCTAACAGTTATTGTCAATTCCCTTTCTCAATTTTCTTTCTCATTTATGCCAATATGACAGAAAAAAAAAGTATCTAAACTGTTATCTTATTTGGTTTTATGTTCTGTTTTTTTCATCTTATTTATTTGTACTCATGTGTATGTGTGTATCTGCTTGCCTAAAAATGCACATGTGTGAAACACATGCTGAAGGTAGAAAAAGATACTAGAGCCCCTGGAACTGGAGTTCAAGGCTGCCCACTGTGCTGGGAACTAAACCCAGGTCCTATGAAAGAGCAGCAAATGCTCTTGATTTCAAGTAGCTAAGACTACCCTCAGCCTCCCTGAGTAACAAAGAATGACTCTGAACTTACCATCTGGCCTCCACCTCTCAAGGGCTGAGATTACAGGCATGTGCCACCAAAGAGGTTTGTGCAAGGCTGGAGACTGAACTCAGGGCTTCGGGCATGCCAGACAAGCATTCTACCAACTGAGCGACTCCATTTTAGTTTGTGAGTAACATTTTTATTATCTGATTATATTTCATTTTCCACAAACAACCTAATTGCAAACGTTTTCTAGTTTTCTAGGTTCTCAATTTAAAAAAAAAAAAATTGCAAGCCTTACTAGAAGGTACAGAGAAGCTAATTTCAGAGTAAGAAAAAGCAAGAAAGTCTTCCTGCATATAAGATTCAAGTTTTACAGTTTCACTTGTCATTGCACACATGTTCTGCATTAAACATCTGCATGGTTAAATTAAGTGGTATGGACTTTTACATGAAGCTCTAAGAAAAAACTGATAACAAATTATCCACCTGAACTATTAGTTTTAGCTAACAGTTCTGCTAGCATAAGATGGAGAATTAAGATAAATGGATAAAGAAATGTCCAAATTCTTTCTTCCCTCATTTCCTCTTGTACTTTACCTTATAATTGTTCCAGTACAGAGTGTCTTGGGTGATTTTTTCACCAAGTACAGGATATGTCTGAATCGCTACAGGTTTATAACCAGCCATGATTTCATATAGTTACACTGCTGTCCCAGGGTCAATAATCTGGAACTGATGTCAGGGAACTGCAGTGACTCTGCCTTATACCTAAAAAATAAAAAAGAAAAGAAAAGAAAAAAGCACATATTATGTATACACTTTCACATACAAGTATGATTTTCATTCTACTTTCTTTCAAAAGGCTGTGTGGAACTTCACCGATTAGTGACCAACAAACCATTTCATTGGAACCCTAGAAGAAACACTGGAAGAATACAGCATCTGCAGCATCTGTACATACTAGCTGTATATGTATGTTCTCAAATCTCCAAGACCAGTCTGTAACACTTGAAAATAAACATGACTCAGCCTCCCAACAGTCCAACTAGAAAAGCATGCAGGCCTAGAATGCTTGTTTTCTTGACAAAGGAAATAACATAGAACTCAAAATATCAAGTTATCTCTACATATTTGGCTTCCTAAAGAAAAAGATACCAAGAAGAAAGGAAAACAAAGCTAATATTTTAGTGTAGAAGCTTATGATGAAATTAGAGATAATGTTCTGACATAAGACAAAAGGTTTAAAAATTTAACTGTATAATCATCAGCTCCGGAGACCACATGATACTTGTCAGCTGTAAAATCTACTGTATGAACTGCTCTGAAAGATCAAAAGTCAACAGATTACAAAAATGGGGAAAACTCATGCTTGATGATAGCTCTCATCCAGCAGCTGGTGCAAGTAGAAGCAGACACCCACAGCTAATCACTGAACTGAACTGGAATCCAGATGCAGAGAAGGACGAGTGATGAGCAAAGGGATCAAGGCCAGGCTGGGGAAACCCACAGAAATAGCTGACCTGAACATCAGAGAACTCTTGCTCCCCAGACTGATAGCTGAGATACCAGCATGGGACTGATCCAGACCCCAGGAACATGGGTTTCAGTAAGGAAACCTCGGAAATCTACAGGACCTCCTGTAGTTCAGTATTTATCCCTGGCATAGGTGTGGACTTTGGGAGCCCATTCCACATAGAGGAATACTCTCTGAGCCAACACACACGGGGTGGGCCTAGGTCCTAACCCAAAGGATATGATAGACTCTGAAGACCCCCCCCCATGGAAGGCCTCACCATCCAGGGGGAGCAGAAAGGATATGGGA